GGAAGGTCCTGGCTGGTGCTGGTTGGGACAGGGAAAAGGTCCTGGGTGGTGATGGAGGGGCAGAGAGGGAGAAGGTCCTGGATGGGGAAGGGAGAAGGTCCTGGTTGGTGTTAGTACAGACAGGGAGAAGGTCCTGGTTGGTGATGGGTGGGACAGGGAGAAGGTCCTGGATGGGACAGGCAGGGAGAAGGTCATGCCTGGTGCTGGTTGGGTCAAGTGGAAGGTCCTGCTTGGTGTTACATGGGGCAGGAAGAAGGTCCTGGTTGGTGATGGGTGAGGCAGGGAGAAGGTCCTGGATTGGGCTTGGAGAAGGTCCTGATTGGTGATGGGTGAGGCAGCACCAAGCCAGGCAGGGAGAAGGTTCTGGCAGCACTGAACAGGTCCTGGCAGCGCTGAGCAGGTCCTGGCAGTGCTGAGCAGGTCCTGGCAGCACTGAACAGGTCCTGGCAGCTCTGGGCCAGCAGGAGCAGGTCCTGGCAGCTCTGAGCAGGTCCTGGCAGGGCTGAGCACATCCTGGCAGCACTGAGCAGGTCCTGGCAGCTGCGGGCCAGCAGTAGCAGGTCCTGGCAGCTGTGTCCCCTGTGTGTGTCCCCCAGACGTCCATGACCCTGCAGTGGGCCATGCTGGAGCTGGCGCGGGCCCCGGGCGTGCAGGAGCAGCTGCGGGCCGAGGTCCTGGCAGCCAAACGCGAGGCGGGCGGAGACCGCGAGAAGATGCTGAAATCCACACGGCTGCTCAAGGCCGCCATCAAGGAGACACTCAGGTGAGGAGGAGGAGGAGGAGGGGCTCAGGTGAGGAGGACACGCCCACTCTCCCCGGAGTGTCCCCAAGGCCGCGGTGTCACTGTCACTGTCGCGCAGGCTGCACCCGGTGGCCGTGACCCTGCAGAGGTACACCACGCACGAGGTCATCCTGCAGGACTACTGCATCCCGCCCGGGGTGAGGGGACACCGGGACATGGGGACACGGGGATGGGGGGACACAGGGAAATGGGGATAGGGGGACAGAAGGAGAGTGGGACATGGGGATATGAGAAGAGTGGGACACAGAGAGAGGTGGACACGGGGAAACGGGGACAGGAGTGACATGGGGACACGGGGATGTGGGGACATGGGAACATAGGGACATGGGGACAGGGGGACACGGGGACACTGGGAGATGGGGAGATGGGAACATGGGGACAGAGGGGATGTGGGGACACAGGGATGGTGGTAACATGGGGACAGAGGACACGGGGAGATGAGGACATGGGGAGATGGGGAAATGGGGATGGTGGTGACATGGGGGCAAAGGGGACAGGTGGACATGGGGTCATGGGGATGTGGGGACTGGGGAACGTGGGGCCATGGGGACAGGGGACAGGGGGACATGGGGAAATGAGGACATGGGGAGACAGGGATGCGGGAACATGAGGGCATGAGGACAGGAGGACGTGATGATACAAGGACACGAGGACACGGGGACACGGGGACATGTGTACATGAGGACACAAGGACACAGGGGTATAAGGACACGAGGACATGAGGACACAGAGGCATGAGGACATGGGGATGTGGTGACACAGTGACACGGTGACACAATGCCCCTGCCCCCTGTGGGACATGGGGACATGAGGGACACAGAGACGCAGGGAAGCAGGGACATGAGGACACGAGGACATGAGGATGTAGTGATACAAGGACATGAGGACATGGGGACATGGGAACATGGGGACATGAGGACATGGGGAAACAAGGACATGGGGACACAGGGACATGAGGACATGGGGAAATGAGGACATGAGGACATGAGGACATAAGGACATAAGGACATAATGATATAAGGACATGAGGACATGGGAACATGGGGACATCAGAACATGGGAACATGGGATGTGGGGACGTGGGGACATGAGGACATGGGGAAACAGCAATGTGGAGACACAGAGACATGAGGACACCAGGATACAGTGACACGGTGACATGGTGACACGCTGTCCCTGTCCCCGTCGCCCCGCAGACGCTGGTGCAGGTGGGTCTGTACGCCATGGGCCGTGACCCTGCCGTGTTCCCGCGGCCCGAGCGCTTCCTCCCGCAGCGCTGGCTGCAGGCCGGCCCCAAACCCTTCCTGGGGCTCGGCTTCGGCTTCGGGCCCCGCCAGTGCCTGGGACGGCGCATCGCCGAGCTCGAGATGCAGCTCTTCCTCATGCACGTGAGTGGCCCCTGTCCCCAGCGCTGGGGGACAGCGTGGTGGCCGCAGGGTCTGTCACACAGGGTCCCTGATGTGAGGGGACAGTGTGGTGGCAGTGGGGTCCATCCTGCGGGGTCCCCAACACGAGGGGACAGCAGAGTGGCTGCAGGGTCTGTGCTGTGGGGTTCCCAACATGAGGGGACAGTGCCATGGCCACGGGGTCTGTCACACAGGGTCTCCAATATGAGGGGACAGTGCCGTGGCCACAGGGTCTGTCCCACAGGGTCCCCGATGTGAAGGGACAGTGTGGTGGTTGTGGGCTCCATCCCCATGGGCAAGGGGACAGTGCAGTGGCTGTGGGGTCCATGACACAGGGTCCCCGATGTGAGGACACAGGGTCCCCGATGTGAGGACACAGCACGGTGGCCACAGGGTTTGTCCCATGGGGTCCCCAATGCCAGGTCCATCCCTGTGGAGTCTCTGACACGAGGGGACAATGTGGTGGCCATGGGCTCCATCCCCGTGGGCAAGGGGACAGCAGGGGGGGCTTGGGGTCTGTGCTGTGGGATCCCCAATATGAGGGGACAGCGTGGTAGCCATGGAGTTTGTCCCACGGGGTCCCCAATGCCAGAGGATAGTGTGGTGACAGCGGGGTCTGTCTCACAGGGTCCCTGATGTGACAGGGCAATGCAGTGGCCACAGGGTCTGTCCCCACAGGGTCCCTGACATGAGGGGACAGTGTGGTGGCTGCGGGGTCCATCCTGCAGAGTCCCCAACAGGAGGGGACAATGAGGTGGCCATGGGCTCTGTCCCTGTGGGTGAGGGGATAGTGCAGTGGCTATGGGGTCCATCACACAGGGTCCCCAACATGAGGGGAGAGCGTAGTGGTCCTGGGATTCGTCCCATGGGGTCCCCAAAGCCAAGTCCATCCTTGTGGAGTCCCTGACATGAGGGGACAGCGTTGTGGCTGTGGGGTTTGTCCCACGGGGTCCCCAATGCCAGGGGACAGCATAGTGGCCATGGGGTGCATCCTGCAGGGTCCCCAATGCCAGAGGACAGCGCAGTGGCCACGGGGTCCATCACACGGGGTCCCTGAAGCAAGGGGACAGTGTGGTGGCTGCAGGGTCTGTCCCACGGGGTCCCCAACATGAGGGGACAGCATGGTGGCAGTGGGGTCCATCCTGTAGAGTCCCTGACACAGGCAACAATTCGGTGGCCACACGGTCCATAACACGGGGTCCCTGCTATGAGGGGACAGCGCGGTGGCTGCAGGATCTGTCCTGTGGGGTCCCTGATGGGACGGGACAGCGCGGTGGCACAGTATCCACCCTATAGAATCCTGGTTTGTCTCGGCTCAGAGTGGCCTCAAAGGTCACCCTGGGCCTTGCACTGGTGTCCCCAAAGCCCCCGGCCCCATGGCCATGTCCCCTTCACCCCAGATCCTGGAGAACTTCAAGATCGAGACCATGCGGGCCGTGGAGATCGGCACCAAGTTCGACCTGATCCTGATCCCGGACCGGCCCATCCAGCTGACCCTGCGGCCCCTCGAGGGCCAGCCCTGAGGAGGGGACACCAGGGGACACCCCCATGTCCCCCATTTGGGGACAGTGGGGACGCTCCCGGGGCCATGGCCGCGGCTCAAGACTGCGCTGTATGGGGCAGACAAAGCAGGGCCGCCCCACAGGGAGGGGAATTTGGGGGGGTTTGGGGGTCCCCTCTGGCTGCTGGGGGTGCCCCGAGCCTCTGGAATGTCCTGGAGCCTCTGGAATGTTCTGGAATGTTCAGCCTGGCCTCCGCTCCATGGGAAAGGACAGGGGGGCAGCACCCAGGGGGGATCAGAAAGGGCCTGAAGGGTCTGGGGGCACAGGGGGCACCCATGGGGGCAACCAGCCCCCTCTGGGGAGGGCAGGGGACACTGGGGACACCAGGGACATTGGGGACACTGGGGATAATCGGGACACTGGGGACACCGGGGACACTGGGAACACTGAGGGACACCAGGGACATTGGGGACATTGGGGCCATTGGGAACACTGGGAACATTGGGGACACTGGGGACATTGAGGGCATTGGGGACACCGGGGACACTGGGGACACCAGGGACATTGGGGTCAGTGGGGACACTGGGAACACTGGGGGATGCTGGGGACACTGGGGATACTGGGGACATTGGGGACACTAGGGGCATTGGGGACAATGGGGACGATCGGGACACTGGGGACACTGAGGGACACCAGGGACATTGGGGCCATTGGGAACACTGGGAACATTGGTGACACTGGGGACATTGAGGGCATTGGGGACACTGGGGGTCAGTGGGGACATTGGGGGTCATTGGGGGCATTGGGGACACTGGGGACACTGGGAACATCGGAGACACTGGGGACATTGGGGGGTCACTCCCAGGGGAGGGCTCTGGGGTGGGCAGGGGCACACTAGGGTCACTGGGGACACTGTAGGACATTGGGGACAATGGCAATACTGGGGACACTGGGGGACACTGGGGACCCTGGGAGTCATTCCCAGGGGAGGGCTCTGCAGTGGGCTGTGGGACACTGGGGACACTGGGGACATTGGAGATATTGGGGTCACTGGGTATACTGGGGACATTGGGAGGCTCTGGGGACACTGGGGACATTGGGGACGCTGAGGGTCATTGGGGTCGTTGGGGTCATTGGGGACACTGGGGGTCACTCCTAGGGGAGGGTTCTGGGGTGGGCAGAGGCACACTGGGGACATTGGGAACACTGGGACACTGGGGACATTGTTGGTCACTGTAGGTCACCGGTGTCACTGTAGGTCACTGTAGGGTCACTGGTGTCACTGTAGGGTCACCGGTGTCCCCTGTCCCCGCTCACCAGGCCCAGGCCGTGCTCTCGCAGGCGCGTCTCCAAATCCTGCTGGCCCCGGGCCCAGCTCTGGGCGGCCTCCTGCAGCTGGACAGACCCAACCGGCTGGGACTGACCCAAATGGGCTGGGACAGACCCAAAATGGGCTGGGGACCCCAAAATGGGCTGGGACAGACCCAAACCGGGCTGGTACAGACCCCAGACGGGCTGGGACAGACCCCACATGGGCTGGGGGATCCCAAACTGGGTCAGGGGACCCCAAACCACCATGGGGGACCCCAAAATGGGCTATGTGACTTCAAAACACGATAGGTGACTCCAAAACAGGCTACGTGACCCCAATTCAATCTGGGTAACCCCAAACCACTCTAGGTGACCCCAAAGCATGCTGAGTGACCCCAAAATGCTCTAGGTGACCTAAAATGCACTGGGGGACCCCAAACATCCCTGGGGGGCCCAACCAGCACTGGGTAACCCCAAATCGCGCCAGGTGACCCCAAAACACATTGGTGATCCCAAAACGGGGGTGACCCCAAAACACATTGGTGATCCCAAAACGGGGGTGACCCCAAAGCCACACTGGGTAACCCCAAACCACGCTGAATGACCCAAAACGTGTTGGGTGACTCCAAAAGACACTGGGTGCCCCCAAACCACCCTGGGTGACCCCAAACCACCCTGGGTGACCCCAAACCCCAGTCTGTGGCCCCACCCCGCCCCGCGGTGCCCACCTGCCTCTCCAGCGCCCGGGCCCGGCCCCGCTCCCGCTCCAGCCCCGCCAGCAGCTCCAGCTTCTCCCCGGGCCCCAGGAGCCGCTGCGGGCACGGGAGAGGCGGCTCGGGATCGGCCCCGCGCCGCGGCCACCCCCGGGACGGGTCCCCTCTGTCCCCAGTGTCACCCCCGGGACTGGTCCGGCTGTCCCCGATGTCACCCCCGTGTCCTGTCTGTCCTCTGTGCCACCCCCGGCACGTGTCCGGCTGTCCCCTCTGTCCCGGTGCCAGCCCCGTGTCCCCTCTGTACCCGCTGCCACCCTGGAACAGGGTCCCCTCTGTGCCCAGTGTCACACACGGTGCCGTGTCCCCTCTGTCCCTTCTGTCCCCTCTGTCCCCGCTGCCACTTCTGTGTCCCCTCTGTCTCGGTGTCACCCCCGGTGCCGTGTCCCCTCTATCCCCATTACCGTCCCCGGGCCTAGTGCCCTCTGTCCCCAGTGTCACCCCCATGTCCCCTCTGTCCCCGCTGCCACCCCCGGAGCCGTGTCCCCTCTGTCCCGGTGTCACCCCCGTGTCCCCTCTGTCCCCGCTGCCACCCCCGGAGCCGTGTCCCCTCTGTCCCCGGCGTCATCCCCGTGTCCCCTCCCGCTCTCACCGCGGCCCGGGCGGGTCCCGCCGGCTCCTCCCGCAGCCGCTTCTGGGCCAGCAGCGCCGCCAGGGTGGCACCTGCGGGGTGGCACCGGTGAGGTGGCACCTCTGGGGGGACACTGGGGACATTGTCCCGTGTCCCTCCCGGGGCAGGGGGACAGCGAGCCCCGGCGTGTGCCGTGCCCGGGGGCTCGGGAATGAGGGGGGGACAGGGAGGGCTGGGGACATCACTGAGTGTCCCTGTCTCTGTGTCCCCATCTATGGGACCCTCCTGCCCATCCTGGACCATTCCAGTCCCCAGGGAGGGTTGGGGATATCCCAGGGAGAGCTGAGGATATCTCTGAGTGTTGGGGACATCCCTGAGTGTCTCTGTCCCCTACTGCCCACCCGTAGGTCCCTCCTGCTCGCCCTGGACCATCCCAGGGAAATCCCCGAGTGTCCTTGTCCCTGTGTCCCCATCCATGGGTCCCTCCTGCCAACCCTGGACCGTCCCGGAGACCCCCTGAGTGTCGCTGTCCCCTCGCAGCCACCCCGGGCCATCCCAGGGACAGCTGGGGACACTCCCGAGTGTCGCTGTCCCCCGCACGCACCCGCGGCTCTCTCGGCGCTCCTGTCCCGCAGCAGCAGCCGCTCCATGGCCTCGATCACCTGGGCACAGGGCACCGCTGTCCCCGTGTCCCCAGCGCCATGCTCAGCCCGTGCAGGGCCGAGCCGAGCTGGCGGTGTCCCCAAACCCGTCCTTGTCACGCGGGCCGTGTCACCTTGTCCTGCTGTCGCAGCGCCCGCTGCAGCGCCCCGGCCTCGGCCGCCCTGTCCTGGCAGCGCCGCCGTGCCAGCTGCTGCCACTGCCGCCGCTGGAGCAGCACCAGCTCCTTCTCGCGGTCGTTCTTCTGCGGGAGAAGCCCCGGGAGTGCCGGGCACGGCCCCGGGACAGCCCCGGGACAGCCCCGGGTGCCACCGTGCCCGCCGTGCCCGCCGTGCCCGCGGGGCCGTACCCGGATCAGCTCGTTCTGCAGCCGCTGCACCCGGTCCCGCAGCGCCCGCAGCTCCAGCGCGCCCGCCGCCAGCTCATGGGACAGGGTGGCTGCGGGGACAGCGCTGTCACCACCCGGGGTGGCAGTGCCCAGTGTGTCCTGCCTGTTCCTATGGTGACACACCGTGTTCCGGTCACCCACCCAGGGTGGCAGTGCCCAGCGTGTCCTGCCTGTCCCCATGCTGACATGCCACAATCTGGTCACCCACGTAGGGTGGCAGTGCCCAACTCATACCCCAAGGTGGCTGTAAGGAAGCACCATGTCCCTGTCACCCTGTCACTGTCACCCAGGCAGGGTGGCAGTGCCCAGCATGCCTTGCCCATCCCCATGGTGACATGCCACATCCCTGTCACCAACTTGGGGTGGCAGTGCCCAGCATTTCCTGCCTGTCTCCAGGATAATGTGCCATGTCCCTATCACCTAGGGAGGGTGGCTGTGCCTGGCCTACCCTGACTGTCCCCAGGGTGACATGCCACATCCCTGTCACCCACATAGGGTGGCAGTGCCCTGCATGTGCTGCCCATCCCCAGGGTGACACACCATGTCCCTGGCAGTGCCCAGGGTGCCCTGCCCTTGCCCAGCACGCACCCAGCCTGTCCAGCAGCTCGTCCCGGGTCAGCACGTCGGTGTCGGTGCCGCGGAGCTGGGCCGGCTCCCGCAGCCGGGCCAGGCTGTGCCGCAGGTGCCCGTTCTCCGCCTCCAGGCTGGTGACGCGGCGGCGCAGGGACAGCAGGTCCCCCGCCATCCTCTGCAGAGCCAGGTGGTGGCTGCCACCACCCTGGGGACCAGAGCAGGGCTGGCACTGCTGGACAGACAGGGATGTACCCCCTGGTCCCAGGGATTGGCTCGGGATGAGGGTCAGACACACCATGGGGGAGCTGAGAGATGTGCAGATTGTCCCCTGCTCTTGTCACCATCCATGGATCCATGGATCCATCCATCATCCATCCATCCGTCCATCCATCCACCCACCCATCCATCCATCCATGGATCCATCCATCCATCCATCCATCCATCCATCATCCATCCATCCATCCTTCTGTCCTTCCCAACCTTCTCCTCTCCTTCCACTTCCCCATCTCCCTCTTTTCCCTTTTTTCCCACCCACCCCCTGTGGAATGTGGGGTTGGACCAGGGACCCCCAAATTTGGAGCTTTTTGGGGCTTTCCAGCTCTTTAACAGAGGGATGGGGTGAAGAACAACAGAGGGATGAACATTCCCAAAGATTCTCCTGGATTTTTTTGGCTCGTGTGTGGCTGGAGATGCTGGGGACAGGGGGAAGAATTCCTGAGGAATTACCCCTGGATCCCCCGAAGGATCTCGGTGGCTGCAGGGGAGCCACATGCCTCTGGAATGACCTCAGGAATGGCCTTGGCCACTGGCCTGGCAGGGGGTGACAGCCCTGGGGGACCCTGGGGACAGGGAAAGGGGGGGCAGGAGCAACCAGAGGCTCCAATCCTTCCTCCACATCTGCTGGGAGAGGGGAAATCCAGGAATTGCTTCATTCCCAAGATGAACAGCAGCCAAGCCCGTGGCTGTCCCCTCCCAGGCTGCCCTGGGGACATGGCTGTCCCCTCCCTGTGTGTCCCCCGTGTCACTCACCGGCTCCTGGGGGTGTCCCGAGCTCTCCTGGGAGCGGGCAGGGACAGCCGGGCAGGCTGGGGCAGGCCGGCGCTCCAAGGGCGATTCCAGGCTCGGGATGTTCCCCTGCCTCCGGAGCGGCTCCAGCGCGGGCAGGGCCCGGCCCGGGGCTGGCAGGGACATCCCTGGGGGGGACACAGCTGGCAGGGACAGCAGGGACAGCGGTGGGGACAGGGATGGGGGTGAGGGTGAGCAGGGTGAGGGTGAGGGTGTCCCAGTCCTGTTCCTGGTTCTCCCATTCCCAATCCTGCTCTGTCCCATTCCTGCCATGTCCCATTCCCAATCCCATTCCCCATTCCCATTCCATTCCCATTCTCATTCCCTGTCCCAAACCCGTTCCCATTCCCATCCCTGATTCCACTGTGTCCCATTCCTATTCCCCATTCCTATTCCCCATTCTCATTCCCCTCCCCGTTCCCATTCCCATTCCCATTCCTTTCCCATTTCCAATCCCACCGTGTCCCATTCCCATTCCCAATCCCATTCCCTGTCCCAAACCCATTCCCATTCCAAATCCCATTCCCTGTCCTATTCCATTCCCATTCCCAATCCTGTTCCCATTTCCATTCCATTCCCATTCCCAATCCCACTGTGTCTCATTCCCATTCCCATTCCTGATCCCATTCCCATTTCCAATCCCCATTCCCATTCCCTGTCCCAGACATATCCCCATTCCCATTCCAAATCCCGATCCCCATCCTGATTCTGATCCCACCGTGTCCCATACCCATTGCCATTCCTGATCCCACCATGGCCTATTCCCATTCCCAATCCCATTCCCCATTCCCCATTCCCATTCCATTCCTCATTCCCATTCCCTGTCCCAATCCCGTTCCCATTCCATTCCCATTCCCAATCCCACCGTGTCCCATTCCCATTCCTGATCCTATTCCCATTCCCATTTCCAATCCCCATTCCCATTCCCTGTCCCAAACATATCCCCATACCAAATCCCATCCCTGATCCCGCCGTGTCCCAATTGCATTCCTGTTGCATTCCTGTTCCCATTCCCAATCCCATCCCCATGCCCATTTCCCATCCCCATCCCTGTTCTCATTCCCAATCCCATCCCTGATCCCGCCGTGTCCCATCCCCATTCCCATTCCCGGTCCCATTCCCACTCCTGTTCCATTCCCATTGCCATTCCCCCTCCTGATTCCATTCCTATTCCCGAACCCAAACCCTTCCCAAACAATTCCCAGGAATCCCTGGAATCCCGGGGACCGCGGGGATCCCGGGCACTCACGGGGCGGTGCCGGGAGCGCAGCGGGAGCACGAGCCGCCGTTCCCGGGATGTTTCGGCAGGAGCAGGAGCCGCCGTTCCCGGGATATTTTGCAGGAGCCGCCGTTCCCGGGCAGTTTTCCCGGGATGTTTTCCCGGAGCAGCCGCCGCCGTTCCCGGGGCTCGCGCGGCTCCCGGCGCCGTTGCCACAACAGAGCGGAACCGGCCCCTGGGAACCCCGCCCGGAGCGGCTCCGGTCCCAAAACCCCGCGGGGATCCCAAATTCCAACGAGGGAACTCCAGGGGTGATCCCGAAATCCACCCGGGGCAATTCCAGGTGATCCCAAAATCCATATGGATAAATTCCAAGGACACCTCGGGGATTCCAAAATGCACACGGAGCAATTCCAGGGATGATCCCAAAACCTGCATGAAGGAATTCCATGTGATCCCAAAATCCACATGGATGAATTCTAGGGACACCCAGGTGATCCCAAAATCCACACAGGGCAATTCCAGGGACACCCCAGGTATCCCAAAATCCACACAGGGGAATTTCAGGGGATCCCAAAATCTGCACGAGGGAATTCCATGTGATCCCAAAATCCATATGGATGAATTCTGGGGACAGCCAGGTGATCATAAAATCCACACAGGGCAATTCCAGGCACACCCCGGCGATTCCAAAAACCACCCAGGTGACCCCAAAATCCACGTGAGGGAACTCCTGGGGATCCCAAAATCCACACAGGGCAATTCCAGGGGTGATCCCCAAATCCACATGGATGAATCCCAGGGACACCCCAGGGATCCCAAAATGCACACAAGGGAATTCCAGGTGACCCCAAAATCCACACTGGGTAATTCCCAGTGACCCAAACACATAAAGATAAATTCCCAGTCACCCTAAACCCCACCTGGATAAATTCCCAATGATCCCAAACCCCACCTGGATAAATTCCCAGTGACCCCAAACCCCACCTGGATAAATTCCCAGTGATCCCAAACCCCACAAGGATAAATTCCAGGTGGCCCCAAACCCCACCTGGATAAATTCCCAATGATCCCAAACCCCACCTGGATAAATTCCAAGTGACCCCAAACGCCACAAGGATAAATTCCAGATGATCCCAAATTCCATAAGGATAAATTCCCAGTCACTTCAAACCCACAAGAACGAATTCCAGGTGACCCCAAACTCCACAAGCACAAATTCCCAGTGACCCCAAACCCCACCTGGATAAATTCCAGGTGGCTCCAAACCCCACCTGGATAAATTCCAGCCCCACCCCGATCCCTCCCCACCCCAGCCCGCTTTGGGGTTGATTTCCCCGCAGTTTTGGGGATTTTCCAGGCATTTTCCGCTCCATCTTTTCCCTGAATTCTCCCCGGATCTCTCAGCGCCGCCGCTTCCTGCGGGAGGCAGGGATGAAAGGCCGGGAACGCAGCTTTGAAATTCCACTTTTGAATATTTATTCCTTTTTCCCCCTGATCTTTCCCGAGCCTCTGAAGCTCTGGGATCCTTTCATCCATTCCCGCTCCTTTCCACATTTGCTCATCCCGAATATTTATTTTTTTTATTTAGTTTTTCTTCCTAATATTTGTTTAACAAATCGCTCCGTGGGGTTTCCGTGGATCCCTCTGCAGGCGGGATGGAAAATCGACCTCAAAACCACCCCAGAAGGCCCCAAGGTGTCCCCAAAACCGGAAGATTTGGGGATATTTTAGGGATAGAGGGGGGAAAGCAATGTTTTCCAATTTTTCCACATTTTTCCCAGATTTTCCCGCATTTCACCCCCATTTTTCCCATATTTTTCCCACATTTCCCCTGTTTTTCCAGGATTTTCTCCATGTTTTTCCCCACATTCATCTCGTCCCTCATTTTTGCCACATTTCCCCCCATTTTTCCAGATTTCCTCCCATTTCCCCCCACGTTTTTGCCCCATTCCCCCCCATTTTCCCACATTGTCCTCCTGTTTTTCCCAGATTTTCTCCACATTTTCCCCCTATTTTTCCCACATTTCTCCCACATTTTTCTGCATTTGGTCTCTATTTCCCTCCCACATTTCACCGACATTTTTTTTCCACATTTCCCCCCCATTTCTCCCCACATTTTTCCACACATTTTCCCCACATTCTCCCCCCCACACTTTTGCCACATTTCCCCCCATTTTTCCCCATTTCCTCATACATTTCCCACAAATCCCCCCCCCCATTTTTCCACATTTTGTCCCTATTTTTCCCATATTGCCTCTTTATTCCCCCCCCCTTTTTTCCCAGATTTCCCCCCCATTTTCCTCCTCCATTTTTGCCACATTTCCCCCCTATTTTTCCCAGATTCCCCCTGCATATTCCCCCCATTTCCCCCCCATTTTCCTCCTCCATTTCCCCCTCCTTTTCCCTCATTTTTCCCGGATTTTCCCCTCATTTTTCCCAGATTTTTTTCCCTATTTCCCCCTGATTCCACCCTTCATCCCACGGGAATATCTGAGCAAATTAAGACATCCCAAATTCCCCAGGGCCTCACAAACTGTGACAGGTGAAAATAAAAGGGAAAATTGGAATTTTCCCCCTTCTCTGATCTCTTTTAATCCTCATTTTCCCCCTTTTTTCCTCAGATATGTAAATGGCAGTTTATCCCATCTTCCCAACAATTGGGGAATTAGGGCCGCCACTCCCCCCGTGGGATTATCCCGGGATTATCCCGGGATTATCCCGGGATTATCCCGCTGAGCCAGGAAATCCCAGCGGGGATTTGGGGAGGGGATCCCTGGAGAGAGGGATCCCAAGCAAGGCAGGAATGGGGGAAAAAATGGGGAATAAAAATGAGGGAAAAATCCGGGGGAAATGGGTGGGAAATGGGTGAGAAATCTGGGAAAACTGGGGGGAGAATGTGGGGAAAATTGGGAGGGAAATGGGGAAAATCCTGGGAAAATGTAGAGGGAAATGGGAGGGAGATCTGGGAAAAGTAGGGGGGAAATGTGGGAAAAAGTGGGGGGGGAATTTGGAGAAAATGGGTGGAAAATCTGGGAAAATGTGGGGGGAAAATTAAGGAGAAAATCTGGGGAAAATTGAGGGGGAAATGTGGGGAAAATGGGGAGGAAATGGGGGGAAAATTAAGGGGGAAATAGGGAGGAATGTGGGGAAAAATAGGGGGGAAATGAGTGGAACTTTCGGGGAAAACAGGGGGGAGGAAATCCTGATGAAAAACTGGGGGCAAAAATGAGGAAAAATGAAGGGGAAATTGGGAAAAATGTGGGGAAAATGGGGAAGGAATGAGGGGGGAAATGAGGGGGGAAATGGGGGAAAATGAGGGGGAAATGTGGGGAAAATTGGGGGGAAAATGGGGGGAAAAGTGGGAAAAAGGGGACGGAATGAGAGGGGGAAATTAGGGGGAAAATGAGGCGAAAAATGGGAGAAATGGGGAGAAATGTGGGAGAATGTGGGGAAAATACAGAGAAAATGGGGAGAAATCTGGGGGAAATGGGGGAGGAATGGGGGGAAGTGGGGGAAATGAGGGGGAAATTGGTGGAGAATGTGAGGAAATGGGGGGAAATGGGGGGAACTGGGGAAAATGGGAGAAATGAGGGGGGAAATAGGGGAAGAATGTGGGAAAATGGGGGGAGAATGTGGGAGAAATGAGGGGGGCAATGGACGATAAATTAGTGGGGAAATGAGGGAAAAATGGAAGAGGAAAGGGGGGAAATGTGGAGAAATGGGGGAAAAGGCGTGGAAATACGGGGAAGATGGGGAAAATTGGGAAAAGGGGGGAAATGCGTGGAAAATCCAGGAAAAACAAGGGGAAACCACAAAATCCCGTAGGGAAAACGCTGTTTCCCCCTCCTACCCCTGAAATCCCGGCGTTTTCCCAATTCCGGGGGGAAAAAATTGAATTTTTTTGCAGTTTCTCCCCTCAGCCTCAGCCTGGGGTTTATCTGATGGAACTCGGGCTGAACTCGCTTATCCCAATTCCAGGCCGGAGTTAATTGGCTCGGGGGTTAATTGGGAGCGTTCCCGGAGCTGGGGCTGCTGATAGCGGCGGTTTGTGGGATCTGAGAGGCGCTGGAATTCTCCCCGTCCCGCCTGCCAGGCCGAGATAAGGCTCGGGAGGAGCTCGGCTCAAAGAAAGCAGGAAAAATGAAAGGGAAAATGGGAAAAAGGGGAAGGGAAGGAGAAAAAAAATTAAAGGAAATGGGAAAAAACGGAGGGAAAAGAGAGAGGAAAAAAGGGAGGGAATAAAAAGGGAAGGAATGGAAAGAAGAAGAAAAGAAGGAGGGATAAAATGAACAGAAGAAGGGAATAGGGAAAAGAGAAAAGAGAAAAGGGAAAAGAGAAAAGAAAAAGGAGAAAAGAAAAAAGAAAAAAGAAAAAAAGAAAAAAGAAAAAAAGAAAAAGAAGAAAAAAAGAAAAAAGAAAAAAAGAAGAAAAGGAAAAAAGAAAAAAAGAAAAAAGAAAAAAGAAAGGAAAAAGGAAAAAGGAAAGGAGAAAAAAATCAAGGAAAGGAGAAAGAAAAAATGGAGGGAGGAAATGGAAATGAAAGGAAAGAAGGGGGAAAAGAGGGGGGGAAAGGAGGGAAAAGAGAGGAAAGGGGGGAAAAGGAAAGGAGGAAAAAAGGGAAGGAAAGGAGAGAGGAAAAAAGGAGGGAAAAGGGAAAATGAAAGGAAAGAACGAAAAAAGAAGGAAAAAGGGAAAAAAAGAGGAAAGGGGAAAAAAGAAAATAAGAAAAAATGAAAAGAAAAGAGGAGAAAACAGAAAAGAAAGGAGGAAAAAAAAGAGGAAAGGAGGAAAAAAGGAGAAAAAAGCGACAGCCCCATAAGGAGAGGATCACCCCAAATCCCTCCTGGGATCAAATGGGGGTTTCTGGGTCACCCCAAATCCCGCCTGGATGGAGCCGTGGCGTGGGGGCCGTGCCCAGCCCCGCTGTCCCCCTGTCCCAGCCTTGTCCCCAAATTTCCCGGTGGCTTTTCCCGTCCCCAGCCCGGCGGGGACACCGCGGGTGCGTTCGGGGTTTGCTGTGAGCCCCGCGTGACGGCAGCTCATTAACGGGAGCCTTTAATTAATCGGGGCTGTATCCCCACCCCAAAGCGCCGTTCCCGCTGCGCACGGCCGCGAGATGGCGCTGGAAGCTCAGCCTCATCCTTATCTTCACCCTCATCTTCATCCTCACCTTCATTTTCATCTTCACCCTCATCTTTTATACCCATCCTCATTTTCATCCTCATCCTCCTTCATCTTCATCCCCATCCTCATCCTTTATCCTCATCCTCATCCCCATCTTCATCTTTATCCTCTTCATTGTCCTCTTCACTCTCATCTTCATCCTCATCCCATCCTCATCTTCATCCTCATGCTCATCTTCATCTTTACCCTTCATCTTTGTCTTCATCCTCATCCTCAACTTCATCCTTATCCTCATCTTCATCTTCTTTATCCTCATCTTAATTCTCATCTTTACCTTCATTCCCATCCTCATCTTCCTCTTCATCTTTATCCTCATTCTTCATCGTCATCTTCATTCTCATCTTCACCTTCATCCCCATCCTCCTCATCCTCACCTTCATCCTCATCCCCATCCTCACCCTCACCCTCTCCTGCTCCCTCCTTTCTCCTCCTCCTCCTCACTCTTCCCCTCTCCCTTCAGAGAACTCTCTCCCCTTCCCGCACCTTCTCCCCATGCTCCATCCCTCATCCTCCTTCATCTTCATCCTCCTCCTCAACTTCGTCCTTATCCTCATCCTTCATCCCCATCCTCATCTTTATTCTCATCCCCATCATCTTCATCTTCCTCTTCATCTTTATCCTCATCCTTCATCGTCATCTTCATTCTCATCTTCATCCTCATTCTCATCTTGATCCTCATTCTCATCTTCACCTTCATCCCCATCCTCATTCACATCCTCATCTTCATCCTCCTCATCCTCATCTTCACCCTCTCCCTCCCTCTCCCGTCCTCTTCCTCACTCTTCCCCTCTCCCTTCAGGGAACCTCTCCACTTCCCGCACCTTCTCCCCGTGCTCCATCCCCCCTCATCCTCATCTTCACCCTCACACTCATCTTCATCTTCATCCTCATCCTCCTTCATCTTCATCCCCATCCTCATTTTATTCTCATCCCCATCATCTTCATCTTCCTCTTCATCTTTATCCTCATCCTTCATCGTCATCTTCATCTTCCTCCTCACCCTCACCCTCTCCCTCCCTCTCCGTGTGCTCCCTCCTTTCTCCTCCTCATCCTCCTCCTCACTCTTCCCCTCTCCCTTCAGAGAACCTTCTCCCTTTCCCGCAGCTTCGCCTCGTGCTCCATCCCCCTCATCCTCATCTTCATCCCCATCCTCATCTTTATTCTCATCCCCATCCTCATCCTCATCTTCCTCTTCATCTTTACCCTCATCCTTCATTGTCATTTTCATCCTCATTCTCATCTTCACCTTCATCCCCATCCTCATCTTCATCCCCATCTTCATCCTCACCTTCATCCTCCCTCTCCCCCACTCTCTCCTTTCTCCTCCTCACTCTTCTCCTCTCCCTTCAGAGAATCTCTCCCCTTCCCGCACCTTCTCCCCATGCTCCAACCCCCCTCATCCTCATCTTCATCCTCATCCTAATTCATTTTCATCCCCATCCTCTTCCTCTTCATCTTCATCCTCATCCTTCATTGTCATCCTTCATTTTTCATCCTCATCCTTCATTGTCATCTTCATCCTCATCTTCACCTTCATCCCCATCCTCATTCATATCCTCCTCATCTTCATCCTCATCTTCATCCTCACCCTCTCCCTCCCTCTCCCCACTCCCTCCTTTCTCCTCCTCCTCCTCACTCTTCCCTCTCCCCTTCCAGCACCATCTCCCCGTGTTCCATCCCTCATCCTCCTTCATCTTCATCCCTGTCCTCATCTTTATTTTCATCCCCATCCACATCTTCCTCTTCATCTTTATCCTCATCCTTCATCATCGTCTTCATTTTTATCCTCATCCTTCATCGTCCTCCTCATCCTCCTCTTCATCCTCATCTTCATCCACATCTTCCTCTTCATCTTTATCCTCATCCTCATCCTTCACACCCCTCTCCCCCCTCTCCCCGGGGCCGATTTTTGGGCCAATTTCCGGCTCTTTTCGCCCTTTTCCTTTTTGTCCACCGCCGTGCCTGGAACAAAACACCGGCGACAGGAGGGGAAAAAATAACAAATAAATAAATTTAAACACCCCCAAAAAATACATTAAACCCCCCCAAAAATAAATTAAACCCCCCCAAAAAAATTTTTATTTATTTTTTCCCCCAGGGCCGCAAATCCCGGCAGGTCAGGGGGGAAGGCGGGGTGGGAGGGGGGAGGAAGGCTCAGAGGAGGAGGAGGAGGAGAACAAATGTTTGAAGAGGCTGCAGAAAAAATCCGCCCCCGCGATCGTTAAGTGCTGCTGTAAATTATTCATCGGGAGAGGCTCGGGAGAGGCCGCGAAACGCGGGCAGGGAAAAAGGGGAAATTCGGGATCGGGATGGGAGGAAAAAATCCCGAAATGGGATCGGGGAGTCGCGATTTCCTCTTTTTTGAGGGGGGTTTTTGGGGTTTTTTTGAATGTATTTTTTTATTTTTTAATGAAGCCATTAAGGAGTGGATCCCGAGGATTTATCCCAGGAAGACACGGGCAGGGAAAAAGGGAAATTTGGGATTGAGAGGGTTAAAGGATTGCGGGGGGGGGGGGGGGGGGGCGAAGATCCCAAATGGGGATCAAAGAGGGCGATTTCTCTCTTTTTATATTTTATTTTTATAATTTTTAGGGGTTTTTTCATGTTTTAATGAAGCCATTAAGGAGCAGATCCTGAGGATTTATTCCCAGAGAGGCCGGGAAAACACGGGCAGGGAAAAAAGGGGAGAAATTGGGATCGGGGGTGGGGGAGGAAAGGATTGGGGAGAAAAAAATCCCAAAATGGGATCGGGGGTGGGGGGGCGATTTCCCCTTTTTTAAATTTTATTTTTAGGGAGTTTTAATTTTTTTAAGATTATTTTTTAATGAAGCCATTAAGGAGCAGATCCCGAGGGTTTATTCCCAGGAAAACATAGGCAGGGAAAAAAGGGTAAATTTGGGATCGGTGGTGGGGGAGGAAAGGACTGGGGGAAAAAAATCCCAAAATGGGATTGGGGAGATGCGATTTCCTATTTTTAAATTATTTTTAATTTTTTAATGTATTTTTTGTGGGTTTTTTTTTTTTTTTTATTTCCAATGAAGCCATTAAGGAGCAGATCCCTGAGGATTTATCCCAGAAAAACACGGGAAGAATAAAAGGGGAAATTTGGGATCGGGGTAAAGGATTGGGAAAATCCCAAAGCAGGATTGGGGGGGGGGGGGGGCGATTTCCCATTTTTAATTTTTTTTAAAATTTTTTAGTGTATTTTTGTCATTTTCAATGGAGCCCTTAAGAAGCAAATCCCGAGGGTTTATCGCAGGAAAACACGGGCAAGGAAAAAAAAGGGGGAGAATTTGGAATTGGGGGGCACAAAGGATTTGGGGGCAATCCCAAATGAGGATTGAGGAGCGCGGCAGGGCCGCGATTTCCCCGTTTTTTATTTAATTTTTAATGATTTCAGAGCTTTTCTGTCATTTTTTTGCCGGAGCCGCGGGCAGCGCCGGGAGCGGGGCTTGATCAGGAGCGGCCGCGAGGGGAGGAGTGACAGCGCTGTGATCGCCTTGGTGTCCCCGCCGTGTCCCCGCGGTGTCCCCGAGCTGTCCCCGGGGTGTCCCTGAGGAGCCCCCGCTCTGTCCCCGGGCTGTGATCACCGGGAGCTGTCCCCAGGGTGTCCTCAGGGTGTGATCCCCGCCCTGTCCCCAAACTGTCCCTGGCGTGTCCCTGAGGTGTCCCTGAGGAGTCCCCGTTCTGTCCCCGAGCTGTGATCACCGGGACCTGTCCCCAAGCTGTCACTGCTCTGTCCCCAAGCTGTGATCCCCTCGAGGTATCCTTGATCTGTCCCTGGGGTGTCCCTGATCTGTCCCCCACCTGTCCCCGGGGTGTCCCCGAGCTGTCCCCAGTCTGTGATCCCCGGGAGCTGTTCCTGCTCTGTCCCCGGGCTGTGACCCCCGGGGTGTCATCGAGCTGTCCCCGAGCTGTCCCCTGGCTGTGATCACCGGGACCTGTCCCCGAGGTGTCCCCAAGCTGTCCCCGGGCTGCGATCCCCGCTCTGTCCCCGCTCTGTCCCCAAGCTGTGATCACCGGGGTGTCCCCGCACTGTCCCCGAGCTGTCCCCGCGCTGTGGCCGCGCTGTCGCCGCCCCGGGGGTGGCGTGTCCCCATTAGCAGGGTGTCACTCCCGATTACGGCCGGCGCCGGCAGGAGATGGGCGGCAGCGACAGAGTGACAATAATTCCTGCTCCGGGCGGGAGGGGAGGGAACAGGGAAAAAACGGGGGGAAAACCAGGGAAAACAGGGGGGAAAAGAGGGAATAAACAGAGGAAAATCTGGGAAAAAAACAGGGGAAAAACAGGGAATAAACAGGGGGAAAATAGGGGGGGAAACAGGGGGAAATAGGGGAAAAACAGGGGGAAAACAGGGGAGAAATGAGGAAAACCAGGGGGAAAACGGGGGGAAACCAGAGAAAAACCTGGGAAAAACCAGGGGGGGAACAGGGGAAAACTAGGGGGAAAATAGGGGAAAACCAGGGGGAAAACCAGGGGGAAAACAGAGGGGAAACCAGGGGGGAAAAGAGGGGAAGAAACAGGGGACAAGCAGGGGGAAAAACAGGGGGGAAAACCAGAGGAAAAACTGGGGAAAACCAGGGGGAAACCAGGGGAAAAAACAGGGCGAAAAACAGGGAATAAACAGGGGGGAAACTGAGAAAACCAGGGAGGAAAAGAGGGGGGAAAACAGGGGAATAAGCAGGGGAAAAAACAGGGGAAACCAGGGTGGGGGGAAAGAGGGGAAAAAACAGGCAAAAAACCCACGGAAAAACCAGGGAAAACACAGGGGAAAACAGGGAAATACAGGAAAAAAACAGTGGAAAAACCATTGGAGAAAGGGCAGGAGAAGGAGGAAATGCTCATCCCAGCAGTGGCTGGGTTGGAAAAGGGAAAACATCCATGGAAAATATTCCTGGAATCCTGTTGGTACATTCGGGCTGGAAAATATCCATGGAAAATATTTCGGGGTTTGTGTTGCCCCTTTGGGTTGGAAAAGGGAAAATATCCATGGAAATGATTCCCTGGGATCTCGTTGGCACATTTGGGCTGAAAAGGGAAAAATATTGGGGCAAAATATTTCTGGGATCCTGTTAGCACATGTGGGCTGGGAGATATCTGTGGGAAATATTGATGAGATCGTGCTGGCAAATTTGGGCTGGAAAAGGGAAAATATCCATGGAAATGATTCCCTGGGATCGTGCTCCTCCCCGTCGCTCTGGTGGCATTTTGGGGACCTGGATTTTGGATGAAGGAGACAATAAAAACTAAAAAAAACCTTAAAAATCCCCTAAAATAAAAAAAATTAAAGCCACTGGAATGACAGGGAGGAGCTGTGGGTGGGCACCAGGAAGGTTTTGGGGTCCAGGGTGGGGGACCCCAAAATCC